GAAATGCTTGTGCGGGGACTTATGAATGGACTATGTACTTCAGAAATAATACTCTCATAAAAAAATGATATCACAAAATTTGGAAGAATTTCATCGGGTTATGGAGAAAACTACCATAGAAGTTGATGAAACGAGTGGCGAAGCGCTCATGAGAGGTGTGCGACAAAATCGTCTCTTCACTGGTACGGAAGGGGTATTTGCACAACTGAAGGATTAAAAAACTTCGGTATGCTCATCGTTAGTATTCCACAAAAGTTTCATTTGATTTGATTCATGCATTCATTTTCTGCAGGTCAAAATAGACTGACACTTTCAATAAGGGGACAGTTAATAGGATCATGTTCAATTGAGTGTTATCAGACAATATTCTCGTCATTTGATACATCCAATGTTCAGAGTTTGTATTTACATCTTTCACCAACGCGTGATATTGTGGTCTTCCCTGGCTCACTCTTGACGCAAGGTCATATTTTCGCTTTACGTATTCCTCGTAGTAATCAGAAGGTAGTATGCCATAGTACTTGTCTAAAGAAAGAATATAAAATCTGGTCAAACATCTCCAGCCGCTTTTCTGATACGGGTTTCTTAACACGCGTAAAGTGTTTCTACTTTCATAGGTGCAAAACGAGTTACCATAAGTTTTTATGGTAACGGATTCACCTGGTAAAACCAAACAAGAATACATGACGAAACGTTCACCACCCTGAGCACCACCTGTACACAACGGAATTTCCCTAAATCTAGTGGTCCATATTGGAGATGAGATGTCGGACGGAAGATCTATATTCTGATAGTTTATTAGGTTCACCATACATCCAGTAAATATGTTGATGTACGTGGCCAAGTTGGTAATCTCCATTGTGAAAGTATTACCTTATAAAGTAAAATAGGTTTTATTAATTTGTTAACAAAACTGACTTAATAACGGACTTTAAAACTGACGGATTTAAAGTTACCGAGTAATTTTGGCTACACCGGTAGAATTAACTGAGGACTGAAAAGCTCAAGTTTTATTGTATACATCTATTGACCATTTTGAGTGCAATAATTTCAATTTTTCTATTATTAGCTCACCCTGCGTAGCACGAGAGCTATTGAATTCCTCTTGTCCGTCTGTCCGTCCGTCTGTCTGTTAACGACTTTTTTGCATCAATTGATGCTAATTAAAATGCCCCTTGACCATTATTGGATAAGTTAATAGCCCTGTTGGTATCGAACAATGGTTAACACAAAATGATGCGAACAATTTGGGGGAATAGATGCAAAATGCACCAATAGTACAGAATAGCCGAGAGATATGATTATACAATTTTGACATACATTTTCAAAAAATTATTGGTACGCATTAAGCGACCATTGCCGCTTAATCTACATCAGTGGTGCAACATTATCTTGTATTTTGTATTTTCCTCGTTTATTCTACACCATTGGTGCATAGGTGTATAAAAATTATGGATTTATTTTGTCGGATTATTCTGCACTTTTGGGGCCATCAGGGTGAGCTACTTCTAACGTTCCTACGGTTTTAGCTCACCCTGCGTAGCACGGGAGCTATTGAATTCCTCTTGTCCGTCTGTCTGTCCGTCTGTCTGTTGACGAGTTTTTTGCATCGATTGATGCTGATTAAAATGTCCCTGGTCCATTTTTTCATAAATTAATAGCACCGTTGGTATCTGACAATCGGAAACACCAAATGATGCGAAAGAATTGGGGGTTTGATGCATAACGCACCAATAATGCATACTACTCGGCGGATTTTATTAGACAATTTTGCCATAAATTTTTCAAAATTTTCGTTGTTCGTTCGTAGGTAATTATGCACCAGTGATGCACAATTTTTGGACTTTCCTCGATGCATAATAATTATTGATCTATTTTGTTTAATTGTTCTGCACCATTGGTGCAATATTGCATAAACATTATGGATCTACTTTGTTGGATTTTTCTGCACCATTGGGGCAAGTTATAACCAAATCATTATTACAGGGTGAGCTACTTCTAACGTTACTACGGTTTATTTACTCTTATGACAGCCCGGGGGGGTAGGGTGAATTTGGGGTAATTTCAAGAGAAAAAAGATTTTTTTTAAATACTTTTGAAAATCCTCACACACGAATGTACAATTCTGATGGTTTTGGACAAGAGATTGTATGTAATTGTTAATTCCCGCGGGTGAGGATTGAATTTCGAAAATGATTTAAATGTAACAAAGAGCAGCACCCAATTATACATACATGCAGAAACGCAACAAATTATTCTTAAACCTTTAATCTCACTGTTCAAACATGTAGATCGAAGCAATGTTAGTGAACCAAGTAGGAAAACCAGACAAAGATCATCGACTTTGTCTGGCGGTTCCCCAATTCGTAGATGATTCACCACTTCGGGGGGCGTATATTAAAGAACAGTCCAATGTGTGGATTCATGGATTCATGTTTAATTATTTATGTAAACAGAAATGATAGCGTGACTTAACAAAAAAGTTTTCAAAGGATTCGTGTCAAGAATGTATTCCGGTTGGTGAACGTTTGTTATATCGCATCCATCCCGATGGATTATTTCTTAATGTTGATTGGTATATTTCAAACTATGTTGTATTTTCCACCCTTCTTCTTAACTAAATATTCCATCCATTCCTCTTCGTGTTTCAATGTATGCAAAACTCCATAGCCAACTGTCCCATCAAAGCAGTGTGGTCGACATGGCATAAACATTTTATATAAGATGTTCAGCCATGTAAATATAAATATACATACATTCTTGGCACGCATCCCTTGAAAACTTTAAAATAAAGTCAAAAAATAATAAGTCAATAAATAATGTATGTAAATATGTACATACCGTATTTAATGTATGACATTTCACGATAAAATTCTAAAAATACTAAACCTCTAAATTTTTATTATTCGACAGAAGAGCTGGAAAATTGTAATATGTATGTATTTAGATTAAGTACTGTTTTATTTTTGATTTAAAAAATTGTAAATTTTAAACAATTTGCGAAAAGTCTGGAATGTTTTTTATGTGATACTCACTTTTTGAATCTGATTGAGTTATGTACATATATAATCTTTTTGAAATATTGTACTTTTTTAAACTTTTACACAAATTTTAGAAATTATGATTAAAAAAATTAAATTGTGTAAATTACGATAAATGTTCAAAATTTTATTGGATTCAGAAAAATGGAATTTTGCAAATTTGAGTATGACTCCCATTATTAGAATCATTTTCAGTCTGGTTCCAGATACCCCTTGAAAAATGAAATGGTCGTGCGCCTTTTTCCGATTCGAGAAAACTGATTTTTTGGCCGAGTGGCAAAATAATTTTTCGGTTTTAGAAAGCTTATCAAATTTACCAATTTTTATGTGAATAAACTGTTAACTGGTTGAACCAATAATGAGAATCGTTACACTTACAATACGAGGGCACTTATCTACTTCACCTACTTTTTATTACTTCAATTATGAGAGGAACGGATTTTTTTCATGTCGACCCCGAAAAAAATTGGACTGCTACCTAGTGATACATACTAACACAATGGATTTCACTATCCGAAATGATTTTTATCACTAATCCCTCCCCATGGTTTTTATTAGATAAACATAATCTAGTCTAAACAATTGCCTACTTCAATTTGAACGGGAATGAGATAAAAATACCTCTGCTGCTTGTGTTATATTAGTTTTGCTTACAGGAATGCCTTTGTTACTCCGAGAAGAAACTTGTAATTTTTATGAACTCTCCATTCGCACACAGTAGAACTTTTACAGAAATTGAGATTTCTGAGAAATTACGCCACTGTCAGTCTCAAAATACCCCGTCAGCATAATTTGAGGGAATTCACATTCCATTCTCTTCTACACAACTAACCCTTTTCCGTACACTCCACGCAGTAAATAAATTGCATATAAATAAAAATTGGAATTCATATACGAACAATTTTATGCCTAATAATTAAGCAATCTTAGGATTAGCATTATCATTATTTACCCATATTCATTATACGCTCCTTTATAGGCCCGAGTGGCCAAAAAAAGGATTAATAAGTTCAAGTCAATTCAATAATTTGAGGGAATTTGAGACTGACAGTGACGTAGTTTCCGAGAAATCTCAATTTCTGTAAAAGTTCTACGGTGTGCGAATGGAGAGTATTTAATTGCGTGCGTCATCAATATAGAATAAATTCTGATGACTTATTATTTGAAAAATGTAATAATACATCAAACTATGCGTAGACCCTAGCTATTTATGCATTAAAATTGTGTCTTAAATCTTGTTTTAAAAGTTAAAATATTTATTACACATGTATTTTTAACAAAGATAACTATTTTATGATTTGAAATTATTGAAAATATGTACAGATATAAATTATTCATTGATAACAAATTAATGATTATCTATGTCATAAAACATTTTTGCATATTTTAAATACGTATCTCTTGTATATCTAAGAATGGCGAGTGACCGAATTTTTACGCGTCATTAGCACATGGCCACTCGAATAACGTTGCAGCCGGGATCAAATACACGTTGAACCCGTCACTCGGCATTCTGAGATGGAAAATAGGTTTTGATAAGTGCATGCTTATCAAATACAGGTCATACGAATTTAGCAGGCTTCGATTACATGACATTTGTTAGATGACGTCCATCTAGCCATAAGTACTTACTTGCGAAAACGGCTCTGAATTGGTGATAAGAAAATAGTGAAAACAGGGCATTCTAAATAATTAATCTAATTAATTCTCTAATTAATTAGTATTTTAAAACTAATTATAAATTACTAATTTACGTTAACTGGCAGTACTGAAGCTAATTTTAATTACTAATTGATCAGAAAATCACTCAAAAATAAAAATTAATTGGTCAATATACTAATTAATTACTTAATTAATTGGCTTACTTAGCAACTTGAGTTTAATTACTAATTACCAATTAATTAAACGAAATATTTTCCTTATAATTTCCAATTACTAATTAGTTATGAATGTGGCTAATTAAAAAGCTAAAATAATAATGGGGTCAGATTTACAAAAGAAAAATGACGCTGACATTAACACCGAAGTGACCCCAATTACTTGCTACGGTGGGCAGCTTGCAGGTTAGAAATGTGTTCAATGGATTGCATGCAGGTCTGCTGAAGCATTTGATATCTTGAAAGGTCGTCAGCATCCGGCATATTCTCCAAAATGAATTCCTCCTAAAAACATATAGCAAAATTTTCCAAGATTCAAAACGAGCATGTGATTAGATTTAGATTGTGACAAATTATTACAATTTCATCATGACTCTCAGCAATTAAGTTGGGCAGTATTTCTTGTAAGATTTTCACCACCATTTGAAGATTAATAGTTGCCGGCAACATGGCAAGAATTACTGACCGGGAAGCAGTTACATGCCGAACGGCGAAATTCTTTACACTCTGGATTTTCTCCTGCAACTAGGGGAATAGTTTTAAAATTATGAAATCGGTGCATAATTTAATTTACACTCTAAGAAACCCGGTAACTAAGTTATTACCATGCAGAGTATCTATGTGACTCTACCGCATGGTAATTAATTAATTATTGAGTGGCAGACATTTTGCTACCAAACCGGTAATAACCCAGGTCGAAAAATTTGAAAATATTACCAGTTGGCAACTAATTTTCTAGCACCCAATAATAAATTAATTAGCATGCGGTAGAGTCGCGCATATAGAGTCTCTCTCCCAGAGCTGGGATAATCCTGATTAAGGATTATGGATTTTAATCCCGGATTATGGATTATTACTCCGTAATCCGGTAATGAGAGTTTTTTTGTAGTTATTCTATAATTTTTTTTCCATAATTCTTCTATAATTAGAATTAATCCGGGAATAATCCCATTAGATGTCATTAATCCATAATCGTGATTTCGGATTACTAATCCTGATTAATCTCAATCATGATTACGTAATCATGATTAATTCTCAATCTGGATTACTCAGTTGAATTCCCATAGCTCCATTTCATCCCACTGTGTAGCTTGAAGTCTCAAGTTCTCACAACTTTGTCTTGTCAGTGTCAGCTACCATTTGAAGAGTCAGCATGTTCTGATGCCTTGTGCTACATATATCAATTGAAACTGGCGTTTTAAATATTCTATGTGAAACCACATAGTTGAAATTTGTTGCGCTAGATATAAATAGTGTAAAAATCATTAATCACCAAATTAATCCGGATCCATAATCCCGAATTTCCGAGAATTTATGGATTAATCCGGATTAATCCTGACACGAATTAATCTCACGAAAATAATTTAATCACAATCCACATAATTTTGTGGTTAATCCATAATCCATAATACACCCTTAAAAACTAATAATTATCTAGCTCTGCTCTATCTGACTGGTAATAACTTAGGATTAGTTACCGGGTTTCTTAGAGTGTATGAAATAGTCAAAAATAAAGAAATAAGTACATTCTTCTCTATCGGATTGGAGTCATTCGTGTTTGATTTTTGCTGGTCCAAAGAAACCGAGGGGCCCCCCAAAAGTTTACTGACCGGAGAGAATACCTTCGAGCCCTTATTATGGATCGCCTTATGAGCTGGGGAGGCATCGGACACGACATCTGGATCAAGGAATACCTGATGACATTTAATCATAGCAGCCATCAGGTTCTTGCATTTCTTGGCTTGTGTCTCCACACTTTGTTCCAGTTTTGATTGAATCATTGCCATTAGTACGGGGTAATCAGCAATTTTCGCGCTCGCCAAATTACAGCAGTTAACCATCAGCAGTTTAGCTTCATCAATGACCGCGGTCGTGGGTTCCACGAGCTTCTCAAGCTCGTCATGTACGACTTTTTCAAGCGCAGAGTTTAGATTGTAATGGAGGGAATGCACCCCAGCCGAGTTCACAATGGCGTATCCAATAGTTTCCTCACTAATATGACAGATTTCAGAGCTCAATTTTTCTTTATGGTGTGCCACGGTTTGGGCAATTTTAGACCCTGAACTGCAACCAGTAGTAGTTGGGAAAAGTGTAGAAGAATTTCCAGTCAGGTCGACGATGATGGAGTTTCTGATATTGTCCATTAACCTGGTTTTAAATTAATTGTATTTATTGTATTTAGAAATGTTGAATTACTACATCCTGGCTCTTGATTTGAACAAAATATGTTTTTTTTAAAAGGGAATCGTGTCCGAAGTCTTATCACACATTTTCAAACTTTAAAGGGGTTGGGAGATGGGAATTCTTACAGTTAAACTAACAATGGAACCTTTTTTCAAGCTACACCGGGATCGACTAGCGAATTATGTCAAAAAATCAGGCCAACAATTAGGCGTCACGTGACACAAATCTTTCCGTTGAATGGGCCCTTTGAAGAAAAATATTGACGGTTAAGTTCAATTTTTGTGCAAATGTTCTCTTGCCTTTTCCTCCACGGGGCGAAAACCAGGGAGGACTACGAACTTTGACCCTCAATACCATTCAAGGGGAAGACATGTGTCAGGTGACCCCTAATTTTTGGCTAGATTTTTTGACATAACTCGCAAGTCGGTCCCGGTATAGCTTAAAAAAGGTTCTATTGTTAGTGTAGTCTCGACATCCCCCGGTTCGCAAGAAAGTTTGACAATGAGCGATGACCCCTTCGGGCACGATTACCTTGTATGTAAGATACCCGTGTTTTGTGCAAGCGAATAACCAGCATATAGAAATTTCACATTAATTATGAAAAAACTCCTTTTATGTGACAGACTAACTTGTAAATCTTTTTTCGCTGGTGTGAAGCACTATAGAGTGGAGTAAGTTCCTCAATTCTGCACGTTGCCTCCTTAAGCCCTCGCACCATCTCGGCCTTTACTCCTGCTAAGCGAGAAAAGATTTGCGACTTTACCAATTCGTCCATGACCGAGGATAAATAGCGCGTTCCACGTTTCCCGGCCAGGTGGTCAAATTCACTGCGTTCCTCAAAGAAAAGTTCTTCCTTCTCGCGGGCCTCTTCTATCGTCACCCCATTGTTAATATCCTAAATTATGATAAAACAATTATTGAAGAACAGAAAATATTCACTATTTTAAACACTTAACGGCTTCTGAGCGAAGAACCACCCCGACATGGCCCAACTTCAAAGGGACAACCCTATTGTCCAACTCAGCCATCGCGATATGTTGGGAGAGGTCAAGCTTGATAATGACACCAATTCTTCTTTCTCCTTTCGGGTCCACCTAAACAAAATTAATAAAACCCAATAAAAGCTTAAATTTCAGAACAACACCTGTTAAAATTTTTGTCTTCGTCCAAAATTCCTTTGCTTTGAAAATAATGAATTTGAATTATTCATTCATTATTCATTCATCCAATAAAAAATTCATTTATTCATTCATTCGTACCAGGTATTTAACATGGGACAAACTGAATGAATAAAAAAACCACTTATTCATTTTAAAATGCTAAATTATTCATTCATTATTCATTTATTCAATCCATTATTCACCCATTCATTTTTCGTTTCGTAGTAACTTGAACAGGTAATAATATTTGGTGGAACAAAATGTGGCATTTGCTCACCATTTTTGCCAGCTCAAGTGACTGAGACATGGCCAAGCCCTCAGTCCCATCGCTAACGGCGAGAATAATAGTTCCTGCCTTCGAGATATACTTCAGTATTGTGGATTTTACCTGTTCCACAAAATCATGAGGTTGGCCGGCTAACCTGGCGCCGACAATTCCTATATTTTATAGGACAATATTACATAATCAAATACATTGTGGGTATTCACGTCATTTAATTACTTCGCTTCGCAACACATCTTCGCAACTTTGCGGTGCTTGCGAAATTTTTTTTATATAACTCATTTGACGGAGTTAGTTTAAGGTTTTCTGGCAACATTTGTGAAAATGAGGAGGAGAAATTAAAATTTTTGTGTACGACAAGTTTGCGATAAATAGTTTACGACGATAATAGATGCCTTTTTGCTTCACATGTTTCGTAAAAAAAATAAAGCAATCTGATTGGTTGTCGCATTACAACTCTTCGCACACATGGCAAATTTGCGAAGATATTGTTGCGAAGAGGTTTACGGCTTTTATGAAATTGACGTGAATACCCACATTATTACGGCCATGGAACGGGCAAGGGAAAAGTTTATAAAATATTTGAGTTTATAAAACCTGGTAAATCGATCAAATTTAAATCCGCAACTTCCGGTGAGAATATCGTCAACGTGAGTGGAGTCCTCGAGATGTTTCGTCCCTCACCTGCGAGAAAAACTGTCTGGTTGGCAATTTCTTCTCTAATCCGAGCAAAATCGTGTATCTTTTCCCCAGGTCGATGCAGAAAAATTCCATGCTCGAGACAATTGGAATTCTGCAAATTCAAAACGAGTGGAGCCCTTGTCGCGCCACGGGGGAGGAAGTTTTTCCCGACCAGAGTTTCAAGTAGGCTGGACTTTCCGGTCCCTTTCCCACCCACGAGAGCAATTTGTGGCAGATCTAAGACCATAAGACTGTAATTAATTACAAGAAAAATTGAGAAAATAATTAGCAATTAGACTTTAATTACTTTGTGGCAATGTACATAATTGTAATTAAATAGTAATTAATTAATTGGCTTCAGTTGCGTAACAAAGTAATTAATTATGTACTTTGACTAATTAATTACTCGATTTCTTCGAATTAAAATGCTTATTTTGTAAAATTAGACCCGACTGATGTAATTAATAATTGAGTAACTAATTACTTTCTTTCGACAGATGTAATTAATTAAGTAGTAATTAATTACAAACTCATGTAATTAAGCAAAGTTTGATAATAATTAGTAATAATTCTTGAAGGCAAAAATACCACTTACCAAACGCAAATTCCTTGTCACAACGAGCAAATACTTCCTTTATATTCGAAATGAATGGAACTAAATCCTCCATTTCAGTTAGATAAATTAAACAATCACAAACTATTAATTATTTGTAAGTAAATTTAAAAATGTGTATTTTTAGAGTTTGCAAGTTGAAACAGCAGAGTTCAATTTCTACTTAAAAATGTCTCCCAAGAATTTCTTATCACTAAATGAGTTCTGATTCACGCCCTGTGACTCATGCACATGAGGGACGCCGTTAAACAAAGGGTAACGAGTAGCAACGTGCAGAGATGCAGAGATGCGAAGAAATGGAAATCATGGAAATGTTCTCCTTTTTCATATGTACCTATCTATTTACATATCTACACATGACATATTTTGCTGCTATGGTTCTGTATACTCCAATGGGATGGAGGTAATGTTATTGGAATAGGAGATCGATCAAAGTTTTTGTGGGTGATCCACTTAACTAAAAGTATAATAACTACCACAGAATTACAGGCGTAATTTCATGCAGGATGAAAAGCAATGCCATGTGCTATGTCAGTTATGTTTGACTTACGTATTATTAATGAGGCGCTTAATAAAGCGTCAAATGAAACCTTTTATTTGAATAGTTGCCCTTGTTTGTTCATAAGTTTTACCTATAGTATTATGTGTACATAGGTACATAAGGACCCTAAGTATTCAATATTAAGTATGGCTTATTTACTTAATCACATTGAAGATACTTCAAGTGCGGGTTATTTAAAATATTGTTTTCCTATTTTCCCACTTTTTTCTATTTCCTACTAGTCTCTTAAGCCCGCAATGCGGGCTCTAAGCAAAACGATTTTAATTAGGTTAGCGATACAAATGTCTGCTGAATAATTGTTACACATTTACATTCACACAGAGCAAAGGAGCGTTAACTTGATTGTCACTTTGTATAGCACGATGTTGAATAACAGAGTTCGTTACGTCGCGATTCTAACTGGTGTGGCCACGAAAAACGTTCCGTTACAACTATGCGTGTGACCGCGAAAAACGTTCCGTCACAACTCTGTGGGTCTGACCGCGAAAAACCTTCAACCGACTATTTTGGTGTGACCACCAAAAACGTTCGGTCACGACTGTCTGGGCGTGACCACGGAAAACGAAAAAGGTTCAGTCAGGACTCTAAAGGGCGTGACCACGAAAAACATGCTGTCACGACTCTAAAGGGTGTGGAATAAAAACCTTTAGTCACGACTCTTTCGACATGACCACGAAAACGAAAAACGTGGCGTCACGACTCTATGTTGCGTGTGACCACGAAAAACGCTCGGTCAGCTTCTATGGGTGGGACCACTAATAACGTTCGATCACGACTTTAAACGGTACGACCACGAAAAACGTTCGGTCACGACTCTAAAGGGTGTTTCCACGAAAAACGTTCAGTCACGACTCTAAGGGGTGCGATCACGAAAAACGTTCAGTCACGACTCTAAAGGGTGTGACCACGAAAAACTTTCAGTCACGACTCTAAAGAGTGTGACTACGAAAAACGTTCAGTCACGACTCTAATGGGTGTGACTACGAAAAACGTTCAGTCACGACTCTAATGGGTGTGACTACGAAAAACATTCAGTCACGACTCTAATTGGGTGTGTACACGAAAAACGTTCAGTCACGACTCTAATTGGGTGTGACCACAAAAAACTTTCAGTCACGACTCTAAAGGATTTGACCACGAAAATCGTACCGTCACGACTCTAAAGGGTATGACCACGAAAACGAAAAACGTTCAGTCACGACTCAGGGCGCATAAACTTTTCGTTGTCCGTGGCTTCCCCTAAGGAAACCACCGACAACAAAAAGTTTATGCGGCCTGGTCACGACTCTACAGGGTATGGCCACAAAATTTGTGCCGTCACGACTCTATGGGCGTGACCACGAAAGCGAAAAACGTTCAGTTACGATCTAGGGGTGGTCCCGCGAAAACGAAAACGTTCAGCCACAACTCTATGGGTTGACCATGAAAAACGTTCAGTCACGGCTCCTAGGCTCAAATATCAACTCTAGAGGGTGAGCCCGTTCATTTGATCAAGTCTCGGCCGATCTAAAGGGATCTTTCGTTGTTCTCGTGTTCGTCAACGTTTTGACACTTTAGCGAAAAACGCCCTCTAGAAACGAAAAATGCAACATAGTACCCGAACTGCCGCTAGGTGACGTTAGCTTTGACAATGTGAGACACGTGTGTAATCAAGCGCCAACTTCAACTGGTAACACACAGACACACACACACACACACACCACTGCACAATTCTTGGTTCTGATATTGTGTATAACGAACTGAAGTGCCACGTGTAACAAATACAAACAATGTTACAAAAACAACAATTCCTACATTTTAAGAATCTTTTGTTTTTGTTTTTAGCTGCGGTTAAATGTGAAGGAAACTTTATAAATATTTTTAGACAGCAACAGTACTGTTAGCTTTCATGAGAATATATTATTGCTCCGTCGTGACGTAAAAATAATATAGGAGCAGCCATCTAGTTGATATTTTGTACATTAGATTTTTTTGCGTACGTGTTCAAGGGAACGTGAATTGTTTAATAAGCAGGAGTTTTTTAAGCTGCTTGCACTTCTCTCTTAGGTTCTTCAGCACGCAAACACATAATTGTAAGGTGTGATTATTTCTCTTATTTGAAATTATTTGGTGAGAAATAAATAATTAAAGGTGTTTAATTGGAAGAGTTCGAGGGCCATCGTTTCCTTGCATTTAGTTTAATTAAATATGCCACGGAAGTGCGACTGATCTGATCAGTTTCTATAGTGAATATCTTTCACCGGGTAGGGGACTGGTATATTCCACAAGTACCAGGTTTTGTGAGGTCGAAATTATGAAGGTCCAAAGGTCTAAAGGGCGGTTAAATGAATTTAGTTTTACATTCGTAATTTTGATCCTAATTATTTCTACAATCGACACGTTAAATGTTACAGAATTTGTTAAAACTTTTACAACCTGTCACCCAACATTTACAGTGGATTCGGACGTCATAAATCGACACGGTTATCTCGATGTATTATCAGAACTAGACGTGAAGCTACCTATTTTATTACGTTCACCTCGTATTGACACAACTCTGCCGATCTATTCCCTACCTAAATTTGTAAGATATGTTTCACAGGTAACTAAAGGAATATGCTTAATGGAATACGTATTCGGGCTCGAGGAATATAACATGACCGAAATAACGTCGAAGTTTAATGATTACAGAAAGTTTCGAAATTGGGCTTTGTCCTCGTCGTACAAATTTGTGGTTGTTGTCGTTCCAACTATTTCGTTTCCGATATTTGCGGAAATCGTTGGCAAATTTATGACAACCCCAGATCTTAAGGTTTTCCTGGTTAGAGATAAACCAGGTCATGATTTTCGAGGTAATCTCCCCTATTTTTGTACTCATTGCCCTACGAATTCTGAAATCATCTTGGAAAACGCGACAAGTGAAAGGCACGGAACAGTTTGGCGGAATCTTGTAGACCTTGAGAAGATTTCGCTGGCAGCATTTTCATACTCGACAGTTTTAAATTTACTAACAAGCGATGTGAAAGAACCAACTTCCGTCAGATATGTTACTCCAGTAGCAACAGGTCCGTATATGCGGGAATACCTGCAAAAACTGCAAGGTCAAGCTCAACTTGACCCGTCTCACTTTACTCGATGTGACGTCGCTCTTAAAACCTTTAGCTTTCGCCAGATCTTAGATTTGACCTTACTGCATGATTTCATAACCAGAGTGGAAAACGCGTCTCCAAATTGGAAGCAAGGTTTTTCCTATCAAATTCCCCAATTAATAAGAATCTATCGGTATCTCGAGAAACCAAATATTTTCGTACTTACGGTGGATACGGAAAATTACAACTTCTTAACTTGCGCTAGTGTCCACAAACATATTTTGTATTCCCACATCTACCTGTCGCCAATGGACCCTTGGTGTTGGGTTCTTCTGGCGGCATGCGTCATCTCAATGACCGCCATAATCGGGAATCGCCGGGGTAAATGGAGATTCTCAATTCTCCTCGACTTGGCCGGTGCCTTGCTAGAAGAACCAATCTTAATTCAATTTCAACCAACAAAAACGCAAATATTCCTCTTTTCCGTATGGGTCGGAACCAGCCTTGTCATTACGACTGGATGGGAAGCAAACTTTACGACGCAAATAATCCGGCCGATCAACACCTCGTCACCGTTCAACTCGTTCTTGGATATTTCGAATTTTACCTTTTATAGCCCCATCCCCACCTCAGAATACGCCCTAATTGATGACCCCTCACTTGGGGAACCATTTCCGGATTTGATATTCGTATTTGGCAATCTGCTAAATTCAAGGATTCAAAAAATTTCAGAAATGGCTCGAAATATCCTGAAGATTTCTCCAACCTTGGGGTACACTAGGATTAAACCTCTAGCCTATAAATACCCCGCCTACTTTTGGGGGAATATTACAACGCCATCCTGTGAAGGGAGAGCCTATGCGGATACGGGTCGGCATATCGATGCAATTCTGCAATTTGCTAATAAAATGGGGGCAGATTTAAGCAACGGGGTGAGATTTGTCAAGGGAAAGGATCCACTCCGTGTTGGAATGACGGGCTGGACGTGCTTTACTGCAGGGGATGCGAGTAAGGCGGAATTCTTGATTCAGCTTCAACACGGAATTATAGCGTCAGGAATTTTTAATTATTGGAAGGAATTGTATTTTAGATTTAAGCCGACGAAATTATTTCAGGATTATGATAAATGTTTTAATAACAGCGAACCCGCTGAGGTTGATAAGGGTGTGAGGAGATTGGAACTCAACTCCAATGTGGCATCTATCCTGATAATTTATTTACGTTTGTGCCAGTTGTGTCTGATTTGGTTTTTGGGAGAAGTTTGTAAAGGGAAAATGACTAGGACGAAATCTATGGCTAAAGTATTCTCCTATCTTCCTTGACTTACGATTTGTTACAATTGTACAGGTGCATTTGCGGCTATAATGAATTTGATTAACATATGTTCACAGATGCTACTTTTTAAGGGGTGGCACATTCTCGCCG